TATGCATGTATGTATGCATATACCTATACCTGTATAGATATGTATATATATATATGTGTGTGTGTGTATGTATGTATGTATATGTATATACACACACACACAAATACACGTGTGTATGAATATATACATTCATATATATATATATACACACACACACACACACAAATGCATATACATATACATAGACATAGACATACGTATGCATGTGTGTATGCATATATACATTCATACAGGTATAGGTATAGGTATATGCATACCTATACACACACACACACACACAAATACATGTGTGTATGAATATATACGTTCATACATATATATACACACATACATATGCATGTGTGTATGCATATATATTATATACATCCATACAGGTATAGGTATAGGTATATGCATGCCTATATATATATATATACACACACACACACACACACAAATACATGTGTGTATGAATATATACGTTCATACATATATATACACACACACATGCATATACATATACACACATACATATGCATGTGTGTATGCATATATATTATATACTTTCATATAGGTATAGGTATATGCATGTATACCTATACAGATATGCATACACACACATACATATAGTATACCATTTGACTATTATTAATATTATCCTGCTTCTGTCTCTGTGATTGAGATGTAAAGCGATTAGGTAAGTCCACGGATTCGGATCTCCCGCAACCAAAACGCTGATACCGAGGACTCCCCTTGATTCGAATTTAGCACAGGTTGGAAAGGGGAGAAAAAGGCATGAAAAAGATGAAACACAACCCACCCTAACAACAACAGCAGCAGCTTTCCCAAGCCTGAATAATCAGAAAGAGTTCCCCCTCTTGAAGAAAAGGTAGTCAGGATATTTTTGTTGTTGTTATTGTTGTTGTGTGTTTTAAAGATAAGTCCTAGTCAATTTCGCAGGGAATTCCTCCCCACCTCCTTTGTCCAAGCCAAAGGCTGGAGGGAGTGCTTTTTGTTCTGTCTCAGCAGGCGAAGAAAAACTTTGCTGAAGTGCCATAAACTCACACCTATCTCCAGGCCTCTAAAACAACTCCAACTTGAGGTCAACTCTTGGATAGGTAATATATCATATTGTATTTATTATATTGGAATGGAAGAGGAAAAAAATCTTGGAAGGGGGTGATCCTATTTTGGAATCCATTTCAATCTTTTCTGAAATCTTTCCACTAGAAACAGACTCAGAACTGCTCAGAGAGACAACTACCTTGTTTCCCCAAAATCATGATTTTTAGCATGCTTTTTCAGGGTTGTCTTTTGGGAGGATGCTCAAAACATAAGACCTAATTCAGAAACAAGCCCTGGTTACTATTCATTAAAAAGTCAATTTGGAAAAATAAGACCTCCCCTGAAAACATATCCTAGCAAATCCTTTGGAGCAAACATTAATATAATTTTCAGGGAAACAGGGTGTACAACTATTGCCCAAACGCCTAAATGTCACTCTCCACTCATGTGGTTTGTAATCTATGAAATAAACAAAATACATATGGATAGGTTGCAAAGTACTTTTTCTCCTCTCTCACACACAAGCCCTTTCTTCAAATACTGGAACAGAAGAACCAGAAGAACTGGTACAAAAGAACAAGGCCAAACTCACCCAGAAGTCCAGAGAAGAGGATATAAGAAGAAGCAACCATGAGAGTCCACCAACAACACAAAGCCTGTCTGAACTGGAGCAAGGCCTGGGTGCAATCTGGGCTGAGGGATCTCACTTGTCTATCTTCTCAGTTCAACACAAAGACAACACAAGGATGATTGCAATCCAGGTTTCCCTTCTTGATAGAACAAGTCTATCTATCTAGAAGGACACCTTGGTCACTCATCCAAGACACATCCAAGCAAAGGAGAGGGGTTTGAGGAATGGAGATCCATTCAATCCTAGGACTTGAAGGCTAGACCCAGATAGACAAGATGGAGAAGGCAAGTCAGGGACAGATGTGTGTTTAATTTCCACAGAAATCCCACTAGGTTGTTGGCTTCCAAATCAATCTTCTCCAAATCCTCTTTGGAGAAGGAACAATTGTAACCCACCCCCTACCAATTAATCTTTTTAGGGGCCTGGATGTATGGTCTAGAAGGCCTTCTATGATAAAGTGAGGTGTCTACAAGTGCACATCTCCCAACATATAGGACTCGCTCATGATGGTCATAGAATCATAGAGTTGGAAGAGACCTCATGGGCCATCCAGTCCAACCCTCTGCAAAGAAGCAGGAATATTACATTCAAAGTACCCCTGACTGATGGCCATCCAGCCTCTGTTTAAAAGCTTCCAAAGAAGGAGCCTCCACCACACTCCGGGGGCAGAGAGTTCCACTGCTGAACGGCTCTCACAGTCAGGAAGTTCTTCCTAATGTTCAGATGGAATCTCCTTTGCCAAGAAGGTCCATCATGGAAAAGATGGAAGAATGAGATTTGATGAAGACAACCAAGATGGTGCATTTACACTGTGGGATTTGCAATTGGACTGTGATGGTGCAATGCTATGGAAGTATGGGAGGTCTAGTGCGACAAGGTCTTTCACCTTCTCTGCCAAACAGGTCCAACTACACCTCCCATGCTTCCAGTAGCATGGTGCCATCAGAGTGATAGTGATTCTACAATGTTGATGTGCTCTAGATTGGCTCCATCTTGGTTTGCCAGCAAGAGATCTTCTCATTCTTCCATCTGCCAACTCCCAACATTTCATTGCATTCACCCATGAAGTGGCATCTTAAGTCTACATTAATAGAACTGTGCCCATCAAGTCTACATTAATGGTACTGCATTTTGTGGATCCCTAAACTCAGGCTGGTAGGTTGGATGGGATCTTCCAGGCCATCCCTCAAGGTCATCCCTAAACTTTACATTGGATCTGAAATGACTTGAAGGCATGGGATAACAACAATGGGGTGTTGTATGGTTTCCAGCCTTGGCATGTTCTAGCCTTAATACAATAACAACAATCCTAATTAATTTGACTTTCTCATCAGGCAAAAGCAAACCCAGACTTCCCATTGAATGACCGGTAAGTTTATGTATTTGTTCTTCATTTTAGATATTATATTGATCTTTCACTGTGTGTGTGTTGTTTCTTCCACTACAAATAAGATATGTACAGTGCGCATAGGAATGCATTCATACTTGGTAGATGCATCCCTAGACTTGCAGGAGGACCACTATGGGGAAAGTTTCCTGCATTGAGCCCCCAAAATGCATGTAAGAGAATGAGAGGTCCAATCTGAAGCCAAACACTCCCCATGGCACACCTGCAGAGTCACATCCCAAAGTGGGACAGAAATAATAGGCCATCTCTGATTCCAGCCCTCCCACCTCTCTCCCTGAAGCCAATTTATTTGTAGTTAAGCAGAGGGAGGTCGAGGGGAAAGGGAGGTTGCCACCTCAGGTTGCAGTCCATGCACACACTGTCACATTGGCTTCTGAGCGCACACATGAAGGGTCTCCCCACATCTCTGAAGCCACAGATCAAGCCAAGAGCTAGAGCCATTTCCCCTCCCCCCAAAACAACACACAGCACCTCAGCTGTGATCAAAGTCTGACAAGTACTAATCAACACCCCAAATAATAATAATAATAATAATAATAATAATAATAATAACAACAACAACAACAACAACAAGCCTAAAAAGGTTACAGAAAATGAAGATGTCAAACTTCACAATCTTGCTAAAGTTTGGATCTGGGTTGCTGTGAGTTTTCTGGACAGAAGCATGTTTTGCTTGCATCTATGGCAAGCATCCTTAGAAGTCATAGATGCAGGCAAAATGTCAGGAGACAATGCTTCTGGAACATAGCCATACAGGCTGGAAAATTCACAACAACCCATTGATTCTGGCCATGAAAGCCTTCAACAATACAAAGTATACATCCTAGATGTTGCAATCCCAGGTGACAGCAGAATTGTTGAGAAGCACACTGGGTGCAGTGTCTAAAGACCATGGCCTGCACTTGAAAACAATAGGCACTGACAAAATTACCACCTGTCAGGTGCAAAAGGCCACCCTACTAGGATATGCCAGCATTATTCGGGATACATCACATAGTCCTAGACACTTGGAAAAGTGTCTGACTGTGTGATGCAATACAACACCCAGCATAGTGATCTTGTTTGCTTTGCATTAAACTTGTTGTGTTAATAATAATAATAATAATAATAATAATAATAATAATAATAATAATAATAATAATGCAAAGGCTCTGGCACAAGCCAGTCGAGGTGGTCCCAGTGGTGATTGGCACACTGGGTGTAATGGTGGTCCCAGTGGTGATCTGCACACAGGGTGAAGTGCCTAAAGACCTTGGCCTGCACTTAAAAACAATCAGTGCTGCATTATTCCCTGATACATCACACAGTCCTAAATGCTTGGAAGTGTCCGACTGTGTGATCCAATACAAAAGCCAGCATAGTGATCTTGTTTGCTGTGTTCTAATCTTGTTATGTATGAATTATTATTATTATTATTATTATTAATAATAATAATAATAATAATAATAGAACAGCAAAAACTCTGGCACAAGCCAATAAAGGTGGTTCCAGTGGTGATCAGCACATAGTTCTAGACACAATCACATAGTCTTAGACACTTGGGAAGTGTGTGATGTGTGATCCAATATAACCCAGCATAATGATCTTGTTTGCTGTGTACCAATCGTGTTATGTATCTAATAATAATAATAATAATAATAATAATAATAATAATAATAATAATAATAGAACTGCAAAGACTCTGGCACAAGCCAATAAAGGTGGTCCCAGTGGTGATCGGCACACTGGGTGCAGTGCCTAAAGACCTTGGCCTGCACTTAAAAACAATCAGTGCTGCACCATTCAAATAATAATAATAATAATATAGATATAGAATATCATTAGGCAGAAATATCAATAATCAAGAAGGATATATTATTCCCCCCACAAAAGAACAAAACAAAACATTTAGTCGGAGAGAGCCATACAAAAAAGTGGTTCAGATATCAAATAATATTTTAATTTCTGAATACTTTCAATTTTTTTCCTTGGAATATAACACACAAAGACTGGACCAAACAGTTTTCAGTTATTATAACTTTTACAGTATACAGAAATGTTGCACTTTTCAAAAAAAAAAAAACCTTCAGCTTTTTTTCCTCTTTAAAACACAAAAACTGTAAACTCTAAGATACTGAATCAACCACGTTATCTATAAGTGCCAACAGTAGTGTTATTTTTTTTTGTCATGCTGAATTCAATGGTTTTTTTCTTCTTCTTTTTTCTTTAAAAAAAGGGGGAAAATATCAACAAGTATTATAATACAAAGAGCTTGCAAATATACAAACAGATCAAGAGGGGGCTCAGGTAGGTAGGTAGGTAGGTAAGTAACAATTGGGGGGGACAACAAGGCGGAGAGGGGGAAAATAACCCGAAATCTCATTCGAATTACAAAAAAGTTCACTTGGTGATGATTCTCTCTGGGTGCAGTTGGGTTTGGTGTGCGTCAAAGTGGGCTTGAATGGGTTCTCATTGTCACCAAAAATTCAAAAAACAAACCAAGTTGCGTCTTAGACACAATATTCCATCTCCCTCTTAAGAAACTATCCATTGATTTCCCTTCCCAAAAAATCCAAGCTTTGTCTTGAAAATAGAGATAAAAACCCTAACCAAGGGTGGATGAGTTTGGGGTGAAGGTGGGGGGAGGAGGGAGGAATAAAATAGTGGTTCCTTTTATTTATTTGGGGTCTGGAGCATTAAAAACAGATGTTGCCCGGGGCTTTTGGAGAATTGTAGAAGTGGCCCGTCTGCAAGGATGTTGCCCTGGGCTTCTGGTGTGAGAGAATTGGAGAACTGGCCCGTCTGCAAGGACGTTCCCTAGGGCTTTTGGTGTGAGAGAATTGGTCCATCTGCAAGGACGTTGCCCTGGGCTTTTGGTGTGAGAGAATTGGGAGAATTGGCCCGTCTACAAGAACTTCTCTAAGGCTTTTAGTGTGAGAGAATTGGGAGAATTGGCCCGTCTGCAAGGACCTTTGCCTTGGGCCCCTGGTGTGAGAGAACTGGAGAATTTTCCCGTCTGCAAGGACGCTGCCCTGGGCTTCTGGTGTGAGAGAACTGGACAATTTTCCCGTCTGCAAGGACGCTGCCCTGGGCTTCTGGTGTGAGAGAATTGGGAGAATTGGCCCGTCTACAAGGACTTCTCTAAGGCTTTTAGTGTGAGAGAATTGGGAGAATTGGCCCGTCTGCAAGGACGTTCCCTAGGGCTTTTGGTTTGAGAGAACTGGAGAATTTTCCCCTCTGAAAGGACGCTGCCTTGGGCTTCTGGTGTGAGAGAATTGGGAGAATTGGTCCGTCTGCAAGGACGTTACCCAGGACTTCTGGTGTGAGAGAACTGGAGAATTTTCCCGTCTGCAAGGACGCTGCCTTGGGCTTCTGGTGTGAGAGAATTGGTCCGTCTGCAAGGACGTTGCCCAGGGCTTTTGGTGTGAAAGAACTGGAGAATTTGCCTGTCTGCAAGGACGTTAACCAGGGCTTCTGGTGTGAGAGAACTGGAGAATTGGCCCGTCTGCAAGGACGTTGCCCAGGGCTTCTGGTGCGAGAGAACTGGAGAATTGGCCCGTCTGCAAGGACGTTGCCCAGGGCTTCTGGTGTGAGAGAACTAGAGAATTGGCAGTCTGCAGGGACATTGCCCAGGAGATGCCTGGATATTTGACCATCCTGTGGGAGGCTTCTCTCCTGTCCGGGCATGAGAAGCTGGAGCTGACAGACGGGAGCTCACCCCGCTCCCTGGATTCAGATTCAAACCACCAGACCTTTCGGTCAGCAGTCCTGCCAGCACAAGGGTTTAACCCATTGCATCCCCAGGGGCTCCTAAAACTGATGCTTGGAGCTAAATGTGATCTGGGCAGTTTTTTTAAGTGCGCTTCCATATTTTTGGAGGGGGGGGGGGAGAGAGAATTGATATATATCTATTTTATTCCTTTCTCAGAAACCTTCCCTTGACAGTTTTAATTCTTTCAGAACATATTTTTTTTTCTCAAAAGGATACACAGATTATTATTATTATTATTCCTTATATCAAAAATTATTATTGAACCACAGAATCAACTGGTTTGGAACCAGGAGAGAGAAAGAGAGAGAGAAAGAGGAAAAATACAAAAAGAATGGAAGGAAAATACAAAAAAAAAAATTGAAAACCCAACCCCAAACAGAACTCTATAGGTACAACAAGCAACATAGGACAGTTTGGGCCAGAAGGAAGGAGAGAAAGAGAAAGAGAGAGAGAAAGAGAGGATTGTTTCCATTCTGTTAATTATCTCCAGATCTCCTCTAAAATGCACTTTTCGCAAGAGACTGTGTTCCAAAGTTTAACACCCCCACAAACAAATGAAAGGAGAGAGGGGGAAAAAAAACACTATTTCCTTTAAAAAAAACAAGAAAGAGAGAGAAAGAGCGAGAAATAGCAACTTTTTGAACGACAAGGAATTCTTTTTTTTTGTTTTCTTCTCTGAACGCATTCTGTAAAAAGTTCATTTCAAGAGTCTCTGATTTAGTTTAGTTTTCGAGTCAATGCAAAAAGTCCAAACTCCAATCCTGATCCTTATTCTCTTCTTTTTTTAGCCAAGGTGGATCCAAACCAAACCTCCTTGGGGAGCTGAAGCACCTTCGGATTGATTCTGACTAGGGTTCTTGCCTTTCTTTATGTCAACTTGCCAAGAAAACAAACCCGAAAGGAGGAAAGAAAAAAAGAAAAGGAAAAAAAAAATCTCTGTTCCGAATCTTTCCCCCGTTTCGGGGGTTTCGTTTGGTTCGTTTGGTTCGTTTCCTCCCTTTTTTCAGCCATTCGGTTTTTTTTTTTCAATTCTTATTATTTAATATTGATTGATTGATATTCTCGCCTCCTCCTTCTTATTGGATGGCCATGTAAGGCCAGTTAAAACTGCTTCCAGACAGTAACATATCCCGGATCAGGGTCTCGATGGGGGTTTTACCTACCAAACGGACGAAAAACAATTGCTCTATGACCGAGGAAGAGACGGTGCGCAGAGACGGGAGGCGTAACAACAGTTTGCCAAAGCGCGTGGGTTGGTTCGGGTACTGGCTCCGGACGTACTCCTCCAGCGCGCACTGGGACTTCTCCTGTAAACTTTCCACGTGGGCCACATCGGAGAGACCACACGCATCTGCAAGGGGAAGACCGGGAGAGGGCGAGGAAGGGGGGGAAGAAAGGGCCACACGCACGTCAGGGTCCAACACGCCTTTGCAGAACTCTGGAGACCTCTCCAAGAGAGACCTCCCCCATCCCCGCATTCTCCCAAGCCCCAGCCTCAGCACCCAACACCCTTCTCTATCTATCTATCTCTATCTATCTATCTATCTATCTATCTATCTATCTATCTATCTATCTATCTATCTATCTATCTATCTATCTATCTATCTATCTATCTATCTATCTATCTATCTGGGAGCCCCCGGTGGCGCAGATCGAAAGGACGCAAGTTCAACACGCCTTTGCAGAACTCTGGAGACCTCTCCAAGAGAGAGACCCCCCCCTTGCATTCTTCCAAACCCCAGCCTCAGCACCCAACACCCTTCTCTATCTATCTATCTATCTATCTATCTATCTATCTATCTATCTATCTATCTATCTATTCTATCTATCTATCTGGGAGCCCCCGGTGGCGCAGATCGAAAGGACGCAAGTTCAATTCCGGGGAGTGGGGTTGGTCCAACACGCCTTTGCAGAACTCTGGAGACCTCTCCAAGAGAGACCCCCCCCCCCCTGCATTCTTTCCAAACCCCAGCCTCAGCACCCAACACCCTTCTCTATCTATCTATCTATCTATCTATCTATCTATCTATCTATCTATCTATCTATCTATCTATCTATCTATCTATCTATCTGGGAGCCCCCGGTGGCGCAGATCGAAAGGACGCAAGTTCAATTCCGGGGAGTGGGGTGAGCTTCCGCTGACAGCCCCACATGACCTTGGAGGTGTCTACGGACAAGGCTCTTCGGCTTAGAAATGGAGATGAGACACACCCCAGAGTCGGATACGACTGGACTTCATGTCAAGGGGAAAATTTACCTTTACTTCTTTCTTTCTATTTCTTTATCTATCTATCTATCTTCTCTATCTCTCTCTCATCTCTCTCTATATATATATAGATACTAGTATCCTGAAAATTTCTCATTCTCATCCATTGTTATCGTTTTGATAATAATAATAATAATAATAATAATAATAATAATAATAATAAACTTTATTTTTACCCCGCCACCATCTCCCCAAAGGGACTGGGGTGGCTTACATGAGGCCAAGCCCATCAATACAATGTACACAATATACACAATCTATCTATCTATCTATTTATCTGGGAGCGCCCATGATTTGGGGGAGTGGCATGAGTTTCCGCTGACAGGCCCAGCTTCTGCCAACCTAGCAGTTCGAAAACATGCTCCATGCAGTCATGCAGGCCACATGACCTTGGAGGTGTCTACTGACAACACCAGCTCTTCGGCTTAGAAATGGAGATGAGAACCACACCCCAGAGTCGGATACGACTGGACTTCCATGTCAGGGGAAAACCTTTACCTATCTATCTATCTATCTATCTATCTATCTATCTATCTATCTATCTATCTATCTATCTGTCCATCCATCTTTCTATATATCTTTCTATCTATTTTTCTATCTATCTATCCATTTTTCTATCTATCTTTCTAAATAATAATAATAATAATAATAATAATAATAATAATAATAATAATAACTTTATTTTTACCCCGCCACCATCTCCCCAAGGGACTGGGGTGGCTTACATGAAGCCAAGCCCATCAATACAATGTACACAATATACACAATCTATCTGTCTGTCTGTCTGTCTGTCTTTCTGTCTATCTATCCAATCATCTATCCATCTATCTATCTATCTATCCATTTTCAAATAATAATAATAATAATAATATAATAATAATAATAATAATAATAATAATAATAATAATAACTTTATTTATACCCCGCCACCATCTCTCCAAGGGGACTGGGGTGGCTTACATGAGGCCAAGCCCATCAATACAATATACACTCTATCTATCTATCTATCTATCTATCTATCTATCTATCTATCTATCTATAATAATAATACTTTATATATACCCTGCCACCATCTCCCCAAGGGGACTCGGGCGGCTTACATGAGGCCAAGCCCATCAATACAATATACACTATCTAGCTAGCTGGCTAGCTAGCTAGTATCTATCTATCGGTCGGCCCCCTTTGGTAAAAAACTATAAACCTGGCTGTGGGATCAAGCATTTGATCAGTAGATGTTGCCACTAGGAAGAGAATGTTTGAAGCCACCGGCAATGGACTGACCTGGACTAGGATTTTGAACCATTAAATTGAATGTTTATAATTGTTTTTAATTGCTGTTTTAATTGTAAATGTATATTTTAATGTATTGTTTGACATCTAATGGTTACATGTTGTAAGCCGCCCTGAGTCCCTCTTTGGGGGTGAGAAGGACGAAAATATCTATCTATCTATCTATCTATCTATCTATCTATCTATCTATCTATAAGCTATCTATTTTTCTACCACTCTATCAAGCTATCTGTGTACCACTCTATCTATCGAGCTATCTATCTACCTACCTACCTACCGAACCATCTATAGAGCTAGCTACAGAGCTACCTATAGATCTATCTATCTATTCTATCTATCTATCTATCTATCTATCTATCTATCTATCTATCTATCTATCTATAAGCTATCTATTTTTCTACCACTCTATCTATCACTCTATCTACCACTCTATCGAGTTATCTATCTATCTATCTATCTATCTATCTATCTATCTATCTATCTTTCTATCTATCTATCTATTCTTTTTTGTTAGGCCGACCCAAGGCGGCTTACAGCACACTAGCATAGAAAATCAATCAACCAGAAACACATAAAAAGGTAAAAACATAATAAAACATCAGTTAATAAAATCCTTAAGATTAGATAAAAGCAATAGCCTCCTCTATCTATCTATCTATCTATCTATCTATCTATCTATCTATCTATCTATCTATCTATCTATCTATCTACCTACCTACCTACCTACCTACCTACCTACCTACCTACCTACGGAGCTATCTACCTACCTATGGAGCTACCTACCTGCCCACCTGCTTCTCTATCTTTCGAGCAATCTATCCAGCTATCTAACTACTCACCTACCTACCTATCTATCCAGTTATCTATGTTTCTTTGTTTGGCTGCCTTTCTAGCTATCTATCGAGCTATCTATCGAGCTATCTATCGAGCTATCTATCGAGCTATCTATCATCTATCTATCTATCTATCTATCTATCTATCTATCTATCTATCTATCTTGTAGACCTCTTTAGATCCCCATCTTTCTTGGTTATTTATTTATTTATTTATGAGATATGTATCCCACCTGTCCCCAAATCAAGGGCCCCAGGCGGCTTACAGCTAAAAAAAAAACCACACAGTGCAAAAATTAACAAGTTAAAACCAGTTCAACCCTTATGGACACCCCAACAAGATCGGGAAATCCACCCTGATAAAACCTAAAGGAAAAGCTTCCTTAGGAAGGAAGGTTGTTAGGTTCTTCCTGAAAGCCAACAGAGAGGGTGCAGATCTAATCGTGATGTAGATTCCTCTCTCCTAATTCGGATTTGCCTCAGATTCACTTCTTTACTCCGCTTTAGACGCCCCTTTCCAAGACCAGTTCATTCATTTTGGATTATTGTTGCCACTCTCCCAACCCCTTGCTTTCTAAAAACTTCTATTCATATATTGAGACTTCTTTTTTGACCTCCCCACTTCCAAGACGTCAACCACAAAAGGGTTGACGTCTTGGACATCTTGACGTCTTGGATGAGACTTCTCCGAGTCTCATCTTCCATCGCCAGTAACTTGCTTGTATGTATGTATGTATGTATGTATGTATGTGTATGCATGTGTATATTATGCAGATGTATATTATGTTTATAATATATGTATACAATGTGTATTAAGTATATGTATGTATAAATATATAAATATACATATACACACAGATAATGTATATGTATATATTCAAAGGTCCCCTTTCTAAGAAGCACCCTCAGTATCCTACACTTTGCTTCTGTGTGCCTATCTCTATAAATTCAAATATCTATATACAATAAACGTGTACATCTCTATCTCTCCATCCATCCATCCATCCATCCATCCATCTATCCAATCCATCAATCCATGTGATTCCCAGGCTGAACCAAACTTAGCACACAAGCCCATTCCTGACCATTTTAAAATGCTGGTTTTGGGGGGGGGGGAGGTTGTGGTGGGATGATGGGAGCTGTAGTCCACCACATATCTTAAGACTCATGCGCACCCTATATCCTATATCCAAAGAACCATTTGCATTTCTAAATGGGACCATTCCTAAAATCAGAAACCAAACAAGACTACTTCTAAGCGTTAATGTTACAAAAGACCTATCCAATTATGTGTGTGTATATGTATATGTATGTGTATGTGTATGTGTGTGTGTGTGTATACACACACACACACACACACACATATTTCATTCATTCATTCATATATATATATATATATATATATATATATATATTATATATATATATATGCCTCCCCAGTCTGTGTATAAGAGAGTGTAGATATGTTACTGTGTGTTTTGTTTGCCAGGGGGAGTCATTTTTCAGCATCTTTTGCTTTTTTTGGCTTTTAAGTCCCTTCCACTGTGTTTTTCAGTGTTTTTATGAGTGATGGTCACTTGTTGGCCTGATAGGTGTATTGTGTCCAAATTTGGTGTCAATTTGTCCAGTGGTTTTTGAGTTATGTTAATCCCACAAACGAACATTACATTTTTATTTATATAGATATTCATATATATCTACATAACATCTATCTATCTATTTATCTATCTAAGTATCTATCTATGCATATACTTCTCTAAATTCTTTGGACATCAGCCACAAAGGACCCCTTTTCTCTCTCTCTCTCTCTCTCTCTCTGTATATATATATATATATATATATATACTAGCCTTCCCCTGCCAGGCGTTGCTGTGGCCAAGTCTGTGTATATGTGTTTGTGTATGTGTGTGTGTGTATTTGTGTACATGTGGTTTTGTGTATGCATTGTAATTGTTTTATTAT